GAGTCTATAATTATGCACGTCACTGTATTCGATGGTTTCGGAAATATTTGTTAAATCATCTCGTTATCAAGTATTTTTGTATCTTGTTCTATAATTGTATGTTTCTTAAATGTAATGCTAATACATTTAATAATGCAATGTTAACATAAATAATGACTATTTTTATCGTTAAGTATGTCTTACCTGTCTGTCCAACAGAGAGCGTCATCTCGGTACCTGAAACACCCAAGACACTTCTATTAGTTTTTCGTATAATAATCGTTTTTAAATATTAACATTGTTTTATTGATTTTGTAAACAAGACTTTATTAGGATAATTACAACGTATTAATGGTAAGCGTAAAAGATTCACAATGTTATACAATTTTAATTTGCAAATCGTAATTTACAAATACAAATTATAATTATATTTCAGTGACCCGCTTAAATGAAAACCGCTTTGCATTTTTTAATCATTCTGGGATCGTTATCTATATTTTAATACTAAACCACTTGCAAAAATATACAGCGTGAATCATTTAACTGCTTCACCTTAATTTTTTTTGTAGACTACATGTTCCATAAAAAGATGTTTCGAACAAAAGTTGTTGCATGGCAATGATTAACTTTTTGCTATTTTCCTTTTTTATTAAAATATTACAGTCGCTTGACGACTAAATCGACTAAAAAATATTTCGATAAACATTAATTTCTAAATCCTCGTAATTTTATATTTCGTGTTTAATAGACTTTCGAACGACACGATTTAAATGTTCCACATTATAGTTGAAAGAGCTCAAGTGACCCTCATATTTTGATAAAAGAGGAGAATACCAACAGTATTAATTGTTGCTATGCATGTTGCTCCTTATACAAAACAATTTACGTTCAAAACAGTTTCTTCACAATAGTTTACAATAGTTTACAAGAAAAATTAAGGTGAAAGAGTTAAATGACACATCTTGCATACATCTCACAGTAACGATTGAAATTTCATTGTTTCAAGAATATTTACTAACATTTCACTTAACAAATATAATCTCACTCTTCGAATCGCGAGTATTTGTGCAAGCCATGAATGCGGAAAATTTGTAGCTTGATATCGATTACGGGTAAGTAGTGTTAATTTGTTACGGCGTGCAGTCTCCAAAGGAGTTCTCCTTACACGATCCCCGACATCCAAAGGATGTATCGCAGCTTACAGGAAAAAGCTTTTATATGGAAGCCCAGAGGTGAATAAGATCGCCGTCGTAAATTGTGCGCGAGGCTAATCTCACGGTTGAACGCGGCCATAGACTTCAGTTCGTTTGACTTCGTCCCGTACATATGCTATGAAAAAGTCCCCTATTCAGTGAATTTGCAGGATTTTCACTTCGCGAGTTCCATAAATATTTTCATTCGGTGAGACATTTACATTAAAATTGATATATCAAACACATTGCGTCTGCAAACAATTCAATTTGAGACATTTACTATGTGCAGTTTATTTAATATAGAATACTATTGTTCGAACATTCATATTCCTCCGATTAATTGTAGTAACCGTGGTTCCAACGTATCTAATTTTTATTTTCATCACAAAGATTTTTATACCAGTTACCAAAATAATTTTGATATCATTCAATTTATTTGTACAGGGTATTATCGGACTTGTAGTGACTAATAATAAAATTATTATCTACATATTTTCAAACGCGATTTTCTCGTAAACAAAGTTTCAAACGGAAAAATATTATTCCTTTTTTCCGACTTATTTTGTTATTATTATAAATAAACAATCTTTCTTAACGAATTTACGAATGAAATTGTATTCGACATTATCGAATAAATGTCCAATAGTATAATTTATCGAATAATTTTTTCGAATAAGATTTTATTCGAATAAAAATGCCTCCGAATAAGTTACTTGTTATTAGAAAAATAATTGATTTGAATAAAAATTATAGAATATATTCTATTCAGAAACTGCAGTTTCTGATTTAACCGATTTTAACTGATTTCGACGAACTTATATAAGTTATAAGAACGCATATAAGTTACTGAGATGTACAAATTGCATTTTTTAAATTTACGTTATGGGCTCAGATAAAAAAATTAAAAAACATGAGCTTTTTATTGTTTCAGTCATTCCAAGTAATAGCAGAATTTAAAAAGAAAAGTATTAGAGTCATTGTGTAATAGACCAGTAAAAGAAAAATTCAAGTAATTTAGCTTAGTTTTAAAAAAGTTACACCGTTTTAAATGGTATTCACATACATTTGCCCCGACTGTATTTTCGAAACAATTCAAACAATGCCGAACCCGAACCGAAATTCGAAAAACCGTCGAACACGAGGGGTAGCGAAGAGAGGGTGCGAAAGAGGATAGCTGGAGTAAGACGGTGTCGCGGATGAATCAGAAGGTGCGAAGAAAGTGGGGCCTGTCAGCGCGACATGATTTAAAGCCAAATATTACGACAGAAAGCACATTTCTCGGCAGCTTCGGTCCGCCGAACCCCTCAGCCGGCTCGCGGGGGTGTGGGCTGTCCCGGGAGCGGCGCAAGGGATGAGCCGTAAGTCGTGCAGATATGTTGGCCACGGTTTATTACCGGGATGCCGGAATGGCCCGGCCTGGAGGAACATTGATTTAATGCGGGAGTAATTGGGCGACCGGACGTCTCTATGAGCACGCCACCTTCCACCGCTAATGCGTTCCCGCCCTTCTAACCTCTCGGTTAACCACCATGCGAGCGAGGCACGCTTACTTTCAGCCCCGCTACACGCTCGCCGCCTCTCCACCCGCCGCACGTGAGAAACGCGAACGCTTTATTGCTGGTTTTATTGCTCGGCGAGTTTTAGCCGCAGTTCGGATCGGCTTATGGCGCTTATTAAACTTTGATGTCACCAAATCGCTCAGACAACCACCCCACCGAGCGCCGGGCTCGCCCTGCTATCCGCTGTCTGCATGTTTAGCGGCATGCTGTGACATCGAAACAATGGATGATACACTTCTCTGAATTCGAACAAAATGCCGTTGCGATTTTACGCAGATTTTATTTCCGGCTGATTTTTTATTTTTATTCTATATTTTTTCGAATCAATTTAGCACATCTTTATGAATTTCTTTATCATGGCGAATGAGGAAGGTGAGGAAGAACAAATGCAAATTTGTACTTGTGAACTGATTTCACAATGTATGGAATACAATTATGATGGATAATATTAGGTTGTTCGGACCGTTCGTTTCAAATATTTTATTTGAATTCAATGAAACGAGCTGTATGAAATGTGAGACGAACTTTTCGAACAGTCTAATAAATTGTTCTCAAAGAAACTATGTGCGTATTATTCGAAATGTTTGTTTCATATTTCGTAGAGTTCGTTTTATTGAATTCGTATAAAAGATTTGAAACGAACTTTCTGAGAAAACTAATATGGAATGTACAATTATGTAATGAACAACAAATACAATAAATGATTTGTAAATACAATACACGTGTAATTATATTATCATCAAGAATATTTGGAGTCAGGACTCTATAAAGAAAACAATGTTTTGAATGCTAACTGGACGAGAAATGTTCAGAAAGTTGAGTCTGTGTTGGAATTGGTAGAATCAAGATTTTTAAAAAATGTTTCCTATCTTCATTTTTGGTGTGGTTGTGACATCTTTTCATAATAACAATTCGATAGATAGAGTGCAAATTTCTTGTGCTTTTAGCTACTAGTAATAATGACACGTGTATTAACCAAACGCTTTTATAAAATTCGACTTACGTCTGTTTAAATGATGCAAAGAATCATAATCACGCGATGATAAAACTAAGTAGTACAGAGAATATTCGCAAGTGTACCATAATCTACACAAGAGGGTCACAATTTGTGTAGATTAATTATTGGATGGAGGAAATAAAACTGGCGCATGCTCGCCATTAGAATTTTACAATTTGAATGATTATTAGACAACGGATTTTTATGCAAAATAAAAATGTTGTGCATCAATTGCAGGATCTCCCATCTTGAATAATTTCAGTTATAAATAACATAATCAAATTGCTACGTTTTTTTAATCGTGTCACTATTTTGTGTTTCACTTACTCATTTTTCTCACAAATACATAAAATCCACAGTCTAATGATTATAAATACACCTACCTTAAATGTTATACATTTCTGGAAGGCATATTTTTAAGGAATCATTCATTTCATGTTGCTAGAAATTGATAATCAAACGATTTTTAATTGAACATCTATTTATTCTGAACATAAACATTCCATTGAACTGTATCCAGTGTGTACAATGCAGTGTTGGGCATCAATCGATTAACATTTTTACTTTGATTGAATTATTGATGAAAACGGTTAACTGAATTAATCGATTGGTGAAATTAATCGTCAATCGTCGATTGAAAGAGACAATTAATGGATTTTTGAATGAATTTCGATGGATATTTTTATGTAACTTCATTAAAAATTGTCTTTATCATGTTTATTACTTTATTATATAAACACAATTTTATATATATTTAATGATTGAATTGCTATTGTTAATTATCAATCGTAATTAACGATTAAATTCCTACTTTTGTCGTTAATCGCGACTGATAATTAAAAACAATTTAATCATTAATTGGAATTAACGATTAACAGTTGAGATTCGTTAGTCGTAGTTTAATTTCTTGCCAGGCTCTGATGTAAGGACGTACTGTCGAAGACCTTTTCGTATTTTAACACATTGTTTTCGCCGGCAATTTTACAATGTCTGTGCATGAGAACACGAGTTCACTCGTGACCGTTCATCAATCTGTTGAAAATGTCTCCCCGTGTAATTACGCGACAACAAAATCTATTTACGGCCCAGGAACTTCAATTTCTAATTTGCGGCAGCATGTAATTTTCGAATGCTTTAGCTTCCTTTTTTTCGCCGGAGTAGCCCTTAAGTGAACAAACTGTATTATTTCAAGAAAAGATTCACACTGATGATCCGCATCGCGTGCAGAAAATTGAAGGTTACGCGTTGATTTGCGTGCGATATTGATGATGAAGCCTTTCGGGCTACTCAAATTTTATTAGCCACGAACTCCGTAATTCCCTTGGAAGAAATGCAAATTATTTTATCCGAAATAAACGGTTGTATCTTTTTTTTTTTACTGCACGTAGAACGAATTAACCACTTGGACTAATGCACGAAGATTATCGTGTATTTAGTCCCGCGTGGAATGCGTGAGATTGCACAGTTCATGATCATGGGGGATTTCTT